TCACGCCCGAGGATCTCCAAAACGATGACGGTTACAGGTTTGAGATTGGCCCGATGTGGATTCGAACGTGAGTTGCGGGCCCCATGGGGAAAAGGTTCCCGCCTGAAACGTTTTCGCGGTTCACTCACAAACGAAGTTATTGTTCGAGACTTTTTCCATATCAATGCCTCAGGAACCCACATATGGCAACAGTTTCAAGTTTGCGGATGACCCGCTCGGGGTGTGATGCGGATGGCGATTGTGACGATGATGAGGATGATGAACAAGAAAATGATAATGTTGGTGATGATGGTGTTGGCGATGGTGTAGTGGGATGACATATGGTATCAGCGATGAGCATGGGAATGATGATGATGATGAGGATGATGATGATGATGATGATGAATGTGATGTTGGTGATGATTCTCATTTGTCTGATGATTATGATGCTGATGATGATGCTGATGATGATGGTGATGATGATGATGATGATTAATGATGATGGGTATGATGATGGTGTTGATAATGATGTCGATGGTGGTGGTGATAATGATGAGAATTATGATGGTGATGCTGATGATGATGCTGAGGATGATGCTGATGATGATGCTGATGATGTAAATGGGCTCCTCCTTGTTCTTGCGCGGGGTGTCCAGAGAAAACAATAACCCCATTTAGTATGTGGGGGAACATCGGAAAATATTGGGAATCTTGCGATTTGTGTTTTTTCATTTGTGTGTCCGTGGGCCCCTTTTTCGAAGGCGGGGAGGTTTGTGGTCGGGCTATACGCTTTCGGCCCGCGTAAGCCGCCGCGGAAGGTCGCCGTGCCAGCTCGCGTATACGGCAGGTTTGCGCCACGCTGACGCGGCGGCGACCCTTGCGCAGGCGTGCAAGGTCGAACGCTGTAATTGGGCTGGGATCGGCCGCTGTCGAGGGATCTGCGCTATCGGAGGACCGCGATCGTTCAAGATCGAGCGATCCACGCGGTGTCAGAAGCGAGCGAGCCGCCACGAGGCGAACTTGCCGTCAGCCCCGCTTCTGTTCGTCGCTCACCCCCCACCCCTGCCAGAGGCGCGCCTGCACGGCGGCACGCCGTCGGGGGAGGCACACGGCCGGGAGCTTCTGCTCAGCGTGGTCGCTCCGCCATGCGGCGGCGACGATCGGGGCGAATAGCCCAGGGGCGGGCATTACACGTATTCGCCCAGGAGCCTTTTCGAAGACATAGATCATCGGCGCATTTGAATACATGTATTGCTCTCCCCTTTAGGCTATTCGCCCCTATCGTCGCCGCTGAGCTATCTCGGGTCCGCCACGCCCCAGCCCCGAAGCATCCACGTCCCTCGGAGCCTTGGAGCCAGCTTGGAGGTGGCCCAGTCTTGGCTTTCGGGGGGCCGCTCTCGGGTCCCGGGACGACAGGAGATCGATCCAGATTGAACAGTTGGTCCGGATGGGCCCGGGGAGGGGTCCGGAGGCCGCCTTCCAGGCGTTCGCAACCATGTATCAAGGAGGCGTGGATTAGCGACGGGTCCCGCTTCTATGGGAAATCGCGGATTTCTGCCCCGCCGAGCGAGGCAACATTGGCCGCATGTCGGGGAGAGCACTTGATCCATGGTTTGAGCGACCGCGCGCCAAATCCATGGATCGCAAATCCATGTTTGCGCGCCCCCAAGCCTTGGAGCGGAGTTATGCTCATCCCCCCTCACCTCACCGATGTTCCCAGGGCCTATCCAGCGCAGACCCCCCAGCCGCAGCCTCCTTCCCGCGGAGCCGAGGGACACGCGATCGACTCGCAGGGCGACGCCATAGCGTGTCGCCGGGGCCGCCGCCGCGACACGCCAAGCAAAAGTCCCTCACCGTAGAAGAGCAGTGCCCACGATGAGTAGTCGTGGGTGAGGGGGAAGACGAGGAGGAGGAGGAGGAGGAGAAGAAGGAGAAGAAGGAGGAGGACGAGGAGGAGGAGGATGACCAAGAGGAGGAGGAGGAGGAGGAGGAAGAGGAGGATGAGGAGGAGGAGGCGGAGGATGAGGAGGAGGAAGAGGAGGAGGAGGAGGAGGAGGAGAGAGGAGGAGGAGGAGGGTGGAGGGAGGGGAGGAGGAGGAGGAGGGGGGAGGAGCGCCAGCTGAACCCTCAGGGCATCGCGCTTCGCCTGGAGCCTCGACGACGCCCAGGCGCCCAAGGCTGGCCTGGCTTTCGAGGATCCGGTTGGGCGATGGATGTGGGGGGGGAGGCGAGGAACGATGCAGGGCAAGGGGAAGGGGAAGGGGAAGAGGAGGAGGAGGAGGAGAAGGAGGAGGAGGAGGAGGAGGAGCAGGAGGAGGAGGAGGAGAAGGGCAGGGGGAAGGGAAGGGAAGGAGGAGGAGGAGGAGGAGGAGGAGCAGGAGGAGGAGGAGGAGAAGGAGGAGGAGGAGGAGGAGGAGGAGTGTTGTTACACCTGGCTGAAGATGTTTGGCCGAGTCGGGCGCTTGGCAGAGGCAGGTGCTCGTTGGTGCGGCATCTCGCTTCGTGCAAATTGCTGCCTCGTCTCTGTTTATCCCATGGATAGATCGAATTCCCCTAAGGGGATCGTGTGGCGGCTGGACCTGCCCAGTCGTATTATCACCCTGGCTTGGTCTTGAGACTCTTGAAAGAGGAGGAGGAGGAAGAGGAGGAGGATGAGGAGGTGGAGGAAGAGGAGGAGGAGAAGGTGGATGAGGAGGAGGAGGAGGAGGAGGAGGACGAGGAGGAGGTGGAGGAGGAGGAGGAGGAGGGGGTAGGAGGAAGAGCATGAGGAGAAGGAGCAGGAGGGAGAGCGCCTCAATGGTGGAAGGAAGTGTGAGACGGAGCGGGGGGGGGCACTGATGAGAGAGGGAGGGGGGGGGGGAGGATTGGTATGGTAACGAGACGGTGATCAGGAGGAGGAGGAGGAGGAGGAGGAGGAGGCCAGAGTCTATAGGCAGTTGGCTCGAGAGACTGGCCGCTGGTCCGCCGAGAAGGGAGTCATGATGGCCTCGAGGGGCCTGCGGGACGCCGAGGATTTGGCGGTGGTGGCTCCTGAAGCCAGGCGAGGCGATTCCAGATGCAGCAGCTTCCCCAGAGCTTCGAAATCGGTCGGTCGGTTTTTGCCATGGCGTCCGAGGCCGAAGCCGACCTGGACATCTTGATGGGTTTGACCCGTCATGTTGTGATGAAGGCGGCGGTCGCTGGTGTCGATGGGCGCCGAATGAGTCGTGGAACCACCGCCTGCTTCTGCACGACATGTGGCGCCTACGCGCTTCGCATGCAGAAATGACAGCCCTCGGTTGTTCCCAGGCTGGGCCCCCCAGTGCAGAGGGTGGACGATCGGTGAGCGCCGCCCAGCCCCGCCATTTGGCCTCTCTCCTCCTCCATCTTCTCCTCCTCCTCCTCCTCTTCCTCCTCCTCCCAAACGGGTCGCCGTGTAAGCTTCTCGAGTGTGGAGCTGGGGGAATCGGTGGAGCTTGGTGGGCGGGGAGATTGGAGTGAGAAGTGGATGGAGCAGCAGCTGGCCTCCCGCTTCGGCTGACGCTGCAGAATGTCACGGGCTCGAACCAGAAGCTGAGCGGGCAGCAACGGTTTCAGAAACGCCCCCAGAGGGCATCCAGCCAATTCAGTGCTGCAGTGAATCAAATCTCAGATTGGTCATGTTCCTTCTGGATGGTCGGATTCTCTGCTGCTGCCGAGTGCCACAAACTTCGGCCGCACTGGGGTGGGGGGAGGAGAGGAGGAGGATCAGGAGGATGGGGATGGGGAGGAAGAGGGAGCAGAAAGAGGAGGGAGAAGGATGATGATGATGATGATGATGATGATGAGGAGGAGGAGGAGGAGGAGGAGGAGGAGGAGGAGGAGGAGGAGGAGGAGGAGGAGGAGGAGGAGGAGGAGGAGGATGAGGAGGATGAGGAGGAGGAGGAGGAGGAGGAGAAGTAGGGCCATTGTAAACCCGAGATTCATCATTGATGTTGGAACCCTCCCTCCAAGCTCCCTCTTCACAGATCCCTACAATGATTCGTTTCCGCTGAGGGAAGTGTCCCGTTGGGAGAACAACCGCTTGGAAATCCGGAAGCGCGCGAAAACACCATTCTCGGACCTTCATGCCACGAGTCAACTTGACTGTTGCGCCTTGACGATCCTGATCTGTGCCAGAGTACCCTTCCATGGGACTTCCACACCGCGAAACAGCGTAACGGTTGCGCCTTGAGCCGCTTCAAAACATTGTTTCTGCAACGCAAACCATGGGGATCCATGGAACTGTTGCCCATGTTTAACATGAAAGTGCGCGGCGCTGAGGCCAGAGCCACAATGTGAAAAGGAACCGCCCGGAATCCGCGACATGTTTGCAATGTGTTATGATGATTGTGCGCGGCGCTAAAGCGAGAGCCACATAAAAAATACGCCCGCCCTCAATCCGCGAAGCTCTTGCAAGTTTTTAAGACTGTGCACGGCGCTGGGGCGAAAGCCACATTTTGAAAACCGCCTGCCCTCAACCCGTCAAACTTTTGCAATGTTTGAGAAGTAATGTGCGTGGCGCTCAGGCGAGAGCCACAGTTTGAAAACCGCCCGCCCTCAATGTGCGAAGCTCCTGGAACTGTTTAAAACGGCGCGCGGCGCTAAGACGAGATCCACAGTCTTTGAACGACCCGCCCTCCATCTGCGAAGTTGTTGCCAGTTTTCAAGCCTCAGAATCATAAACAGTAAGGAGGTCTCAGGCGAGACGCCCAGCCCGCCCTTTGGACCAGCCCCGGGGCGTACCAGGAAGGATTTACAGTGGAGGCCCATGCCGAGAAACACCCTAATCGCCTCCAGGGTGCCCTGGGTTTCTTGGGTTTCGATTGTTTTGCGATGGAAAGCGTGACGCTCCCACACCGAAAATCAGTGGACGTCCTGGGGTCTCAGGGTTTGGTTTCTCGTGGACGGTTTCTTATGGACGGGCCTCCACTGTATTGACAAGGAACAGAAGTTGAGGGGGAGGGAGAGGGGGAGGAGGACAAGTTAGGTGCGCAAGCATCATATCTGACGTCCTCCCCCTG